CAGTTAGCACTGATGGGGCCATAATTCGGAAGAGGAAAGAAAATCATTTCACCATAAACTAGCCACGACCAGGTGCTCTTCACAAGATTTTTAACAGGAAGAGTGAAAAGAATTATCAGAAGAGTTGTCCAAGACCCAAGGACCACTTGTGGAGAGCTTCAGAAAGACTTTGAATTAGCAGGTACAATTGTTTAATAGAAAACAATAAGTAATGCACTCATCCGCCATGGTCTGTATGCATGCTCACCACGCAAAACTCCATTGCTGAAGAAAAAGCATGTTGAAGTTCATTTAACCACCTTCTGTCTGGCCGTTGCATATAAATGGCCGGACAGTGGCAGTGCAGGGTTGGGTGACCGTTTATAAACGGCCTCCCTGCTTGTGCGCGCACCCTGGGAGTGCGCAGCACCGCAATCCGGTGCCTGCTGTGTCCTCCGGACACAGTGGAACACCAATCGTACGGGACCTCTGTGCAAGGTCAGTGATTACATGCAGAGTAGAGTAGTCACTTCTGACATCATTACTTACTACGTGTGAAATCTGTGAATGATCGCAGAGGTCACATGGTACAAGGCTATTCACAACAGCCTTGTACCATGTGACAAGCTGTGACCAATACAGCTCACACAGTAGTTCTCAATGGCTGCAAGAATGCAGCCAGAGACAAGGAGAAATGATTGCTTTTACAGCCTTTATGGGTGTAAAAGCAATCAGTGTAAAAAATAAAATAAAATAATTCTTCATCACCCCCCCCCCACAAGTAGTAGTGTCACCACTATAATTTTTGGTTATAAACTAATTTTGGTTATTTTTTTTTTTTTTTTTTTACTAAAAAGATAACGGAATACATTTTGGCCAAGATTTATGATGAAATATTTATTTGCAAAATTTTATAAGAGAAACACTTTTTTTTCAAAATTTCTGGACTTTTTCATTTACATAGCAAAAAAAAAAAAAAAATCCCAGTGGTGAATAAATACCACCAAAATAAATCTTTATCTGTCTCAAAAAAATGCTAAAAAATTCATATGGGTACAGTGTTGCATGACTGCGAAATTGTCATTCAGTGTGATAGCACTGAAAGCTGAAAATCAACCTGAACAGGAAGGGGGTAAAAGTGTCCGGACTTGAAGTGGTTAAAGTTTGCTGCACAACATTTAGATACTAAACTAAATGTGAAATACTGGGAGAATATAGTCTGGTAAGATGAGACCAAAATTTAATTGTTTGGATGCCGTAATATGCACCATGTTTGGTCAAATGGCACGGCACATCACCCCAAAAACTCCATACCAACAGTGAAGTTTGGAGGTGGGAACATCATGGCAAACTTCATATCATTGAAGGAAGGATGAATGGAAAAATGTACCAAGACATTTTTGATAAAAATCTGGTGCCATCTACCAGGATGATGAAGATGAAACGAGGGTGGACATATTTTAGCAAGACAATGATCCCAAACACAAAGCCAAGGAAACTCTCAATTGGTTTGAAAGACAGCAAAAAAAAAAAGCCGCTAGAATGGCCCAGCCAAACACCTAACTTGAATCCAATACAAAATCTATGGAAAGAACTAAAGATCAGAGTTCATAGAAGAGGCCCACAGAACCTTCAAGATTTGAAAACTGCGTGGAAGTATGGGCCAAAATCACCACTGAGCAATGCATGTGACTAGTTTCTCCATACAGGAGGCGTCTTGAAGCTGTCATTACTAACAAAGGATTTTGTATGAAGTATTAAATACATTTCAGTTAGCATGTTCAATACTTTTTCCCTGTGTCATTCCATTTTATTACACATAACTTAATTTAATAACTTGTTGTGGTTTCTTTGCATGTATGAACTGCATGGGTTGTTACTGACCTGTGAAAATTTCATGTCAATAGCACCTTTAGAAATATATTTATCGAGAAATATGGTGATGTGTTCAATACTTATTTTTCCTGCAGTGTGTGTGTGTGTGTGTATGTGTGTATACTGGTATGGGGGTTGATTAGCTTGTATGGTAGATATGTTTTTTTTAATGAGTTTTGCCAGTTCGAACTGTATTGTAGGGTATGGCAGCCTACTTTTACTTAAACAGATGTATGTTTAAGTAAAAGTGTTAATATTGCGCACAGAGGGGTTTCAACTTCACACATCAAAATCAGTAACAGTATAGGCCTACTTCTGGTCTCTACTTCTGGTTCTTCTGAAATCCTGGGCTCTCACCCGTCTGAGACTTAGATTCTTTCAGTCCCTTTTCTTACCTCAGCTCTCCCAGTCTCCCAAACGCTGTCAGTCTCCCAGCCTCTTACCTGTCCCAACTCTCTCAGTGCAATGGACATCGAATCCCTCCACTGTGCAGTGCAGTCTCTCAATTAGAGCACCTCTCTTTAAACAGGATCGCACACCTGTCTTCAAATAGAAGCACACGTCCCTCCTGGCTGGATCCCTGAATTATTCCCAAGCCTTAATTGTAAGGGCTGTGTGCACCCTAACTTCAACAAGGCCTGAACACTAGGAAATCTCCATACTACAGAACTCAATCTGGGAATACCGGAACCCGGAGAAAGCTGTAAAATATATATATTTTTTTTAATTACAACCTGTTCTACTTTTTACAGGAGTTACAGAGCAGTGACAGATTAAGCAGGAATCCCCTTGGTTCCTCCTCACATCTCTGCCATTTCCTGCTTCTCTGCTATCCCTACTTCTAAGGTGGAGAAGCAGGGAGCAAGTAAACAGCCAGTGAGGTGCTTACATCACACCTTATTAACCACTTGACAACCAGACATTTTACCTTCCTCATGACCAGGCCATTTTTGCTATTTAGCACTGTGCTACTTTAATTGTGGTCATGCAACGCTGCAATTTATATAATTTTTTTCTTTTAACACAAGTAAATCTTCCATTTGGTGGTATTGGATCATTATTGCTTTTATTGTTATATAAATGGAAAAAGACCAAAAATTTAGAACAAATTTATTTTTTTTACTTTTTGCTATATAACATCTATATCCAAAAAACATTTTTAAAAAATCTTATTACTTAATAAATTTAGGAAAAAATTTATTCTGCTACATGTGTTTGGTAAAAAAAGAATCCAAATAAGTGTATATTGATGGGTTTGTGTGAAAGTTATGGTGTCTAAAACAATGTAATGTATCTCACAGAAGTGAGTACACCCCTCACAATTTTGTAAATATTTTATTATATCTTTTAGTGTGACATTACTGAAGAAATGACACTTTTCTACAATGTAAAGTAGTGAGTGTACAGCTTGTATAACAGTGTAAATTTGCTGTCCCCTCAAAATAACTCACACACAGCCATTAATGTCTAAACCACTGGCAACAAAAGTGAGTACACCGCTAAGTGAAATTGTCCAAATTGGTTCTAATTAGCCATTCTCTCTCCCCAGTGTCATGTGACAAGGTCTCAGGTGTGAAAGGGAAGCAGGTATGTTAAATTTAGTGTTATCGCGTTCTCTTTCGTACTGGTCACTGGAAGTTCAACATGGGACCTCATGGCAAAGAACGCTGAGGATCTGAAAAAAAAAATTGTTGCTCTACATAAAGATGGCCTAGGCTATAAGAAGATTGTCAAGACCCTGAAACTGAGCTGCAGCACGGTGGCCAAGACCATACAGCGGTTTAACAGGACAGGTTCCACTCAAAACATGCCTTGCCATCGTCGACCAAAGAGGTTTAGTGCACGTGCTCAGCGTCATATCAACAGTTTGTCTTTGGGAAATAGACGTATGAATGCTGCCAGCATTGCTGCAGAGGTTTAAGGGGTGGGGAGTCAGCCTGTCAGTGCTCGGACCATATGCCGCACACTGCATCAAATTGGTCTGCATGGCTGTTGTCCCTGAAGGAGGCCTCTTCTAAACATGATGCACAAGAAAGCCTGCAGTTTGCTGAAGACAAGCAGACTTAGGACATGGAATACTGGAACCATGTCCTGTGGTCTGATGAGACCAAGATAAACGTATTTGGTTCAGATGGTGTCAAGCGTGTGTGGCGGCAACCAGGTGAGGAGTACAAAGACAAGTGTGTCTTGCCTACAGTCAAGCATGGTGGTGGGAGTGTCATGGTCAGGGGCTGCATGAGTGCTGCTGGCACTGGGGTGCTACAGTTCATTGAGGGAGCCATGAATGCCAGCATGTACTGTGACATACTGAAGCAGAGCATGATCCCCTCCCTTCAGAGACTGGGCTGCGGGGCAGTATTCCAACATAACCCCAAACACACCTCCAAGATGACCACTGCCTTGCTAAAGAAGCTGAGGGTAAAGGTGATGGACTAGCCAAGCATGTCTCCAGACCTAAACTATATTGAGCATCTGTGGGGCATCTTCAAACGGAAGGTGGAGGATCGCAAGGTCTCTAACATCCACGCATGAAAGGAAGCCATCCATTGTATACAACTGTCATGTGACTTGCTGTGATTGGTCACAGCAGGCCACATGGTACTGGCAACGGGGCCGATACACAGATCTGTTATCAGCCATGTCTGAGGTACATGGCCGGTTACAGATCGCGCCGCTGCGCGGTTTTGCGGACAAGGGCACCATATGGTGTCCACCCAGAGGGACGAGGTGTTTTGCCGGCCGCCATCTGGCTATGGGCCAGGCGGGAACCTGTTAATTGCATAAATAAACCCTTCTATATTTTACACCCAAGGATGCTGCAGTTTTAGCCTGTTTGATCTGCAGTTGCAATGACAGTGCTCATGTGATTAGTTATGACACCAGCCATTTAGCGGCTTAACATATTCAGTTGAGGGCAGTAGCAGATGTGATCTTTATTCCCAGCATGCCTTGAATTTAACTGTTTTGGGAAACTGTAAAATCTCTGGGTTTAGTTCCGCTTTAATAAATATGCACCTTAGAGTTTAAAGGTGTTGTTTTCTTCTCATTCCAGAAATGTTGGAAGTATGACATTATGCTAGTAGTTATACCATTTGCTGAAGCGGGTCATCTTAAAGTGATTCTCCAGGCAAAGATTAAAGTGTTATTAAACCCACAACCATAAAATCAGTCTGTATATGCAGCAAAGCATGTTATACTCACTGTGGAACCTATGGGGTTAATCTTCTGCATTGTGTAAAAAGCTGTTTAATCCTGACTTCTCTGATCCTCCCCTTCTTCTAGTTTTCCCCTCTTATCTCCTGATGAGACATATTGTGTAGAGTCACTCTGCACATGCTCAGTTTGGTGTGTATTGCTAGAAAGGTTTTTTTTTTTTTTTTTTTCTTGGGAGGGTGTATGTGATCAGCACAAGGCCAATCAGCACTGTCTAGACAGAGGTCAGGGGTTCTGCATCCTAGAAGCCACACAAACTGCTCTAACTGCTAATGAGAAAAGGTATTTAGCAGTTTATATTTACTAAAATAATTGCACTCCATGTTCTGTGTACTGTGGCAGACCAGATACAGTGAATGCAAGGTCCTGGCTCTAGTAACACTTTAAATTAGTTTTTGCACAGTTAAAAACTTTAAAAACCTTCCATGTTTTGTTCATGATCTGTAGCCTTTGCTATTGTATTGCAATTAGGTTTTAAACCTACTGGTTCCCAGTGCATCATCCCAGTTCTGGTATTGGGCCAGGTAGGTTATATTGCTTCTATGCAAATAGTGCCTCAGCGTTGTCGGCACCTGGATGCTTCACAGGATAATTATTCATGCAGAATACTTAAGGATGCCAGAAGCTTCCTCTGACACACATAAATTGTAATCCTGGAGAAAGCTCTGACTGTGCTAACTTTAGCTCTATACTAGCCCAAATTACAAAGGGAAGCACAGTGTTTGAAGGGTTTGCAGTCCTATGACTGACCTATAAATGCATAGAATTAAAGTGTTACTAAACCCACAACAGTAAAATCTGTCGGTATATGCAGTAAAGCATGCTTGTTATTCTCACTGTGGAGCCTAAGGGGTTAATCATCTGCTTTGTGTAAAAAGGCCATTTGATCCTGACTTATCTGCCCCTCCTCTTATTCAGATGTCCATGTCTTACCTCCTAATAAGACAGACTGAACCTGTAGCCACATGCTCAGTTTAGTGTGTATTGCTAGAGAGGTTTTTTTTTTTCTTTCTTGGAAGCGTGCATGTGATCAGCACAGGGTCAATCAGCACTGTCCAGACAGGGTCAGGGGTTTTGCATCTTTCTAGAGCAGAAAGAAAACTCCTACAAGCTTTAACCAGTGCTCTGCTGAAGTCACAAGACAAGATGAGAAAAATTAGCAGTTTATATTTACTAAAATAATTGCACCTCCATGTTGTGTGTACTGTGGGAGGCCAGATATAGTGAATGCAGGGTGCTGGGTTTAGTAACACTTTAAGTATGTAGAAAGTAATGGTGTTAAAGTGATATTAAAGTCTTGATTTTTTTTTTCTTTTTTTTTAAATAACAAACATATCATACTTACCTGCTCTGTGCAGTGGATTTGCACAGAGCAGCCCGGATCCTCCTCTTCTTGGGTCCCCTTCCTGAGCTCCTGGCTCTTCCCTCCTGCTGACTGCTCCCATAGCAAGCAGCGTGCTATGGGGGCACCCAAGCAGGCGCTGTCCCGAGCCGTGGCTTTGTGTGTCCATTCATACATCGTATTTATTGCCCCCTCCCTCTCCTGATTGACATACTGGCTATAATTGACAGCAGCGGGAGCCACTGGCTCCCACTGTTGCCTCAGCCAATCAGCACTTAGAGTCCCACGAGAACCAAGGCTCTCGTGGACATCGCTGGATCGAGAGGGGGCTCAGGTAAGTGTTTGGGGGGTTGCTACACACAGAAGGTTTTTTTTACCTTCAAGCATAGAATGCATGAAGATAAAAAACCTCGAGTGTTTAGAACCACTTTAAGCAGGCTTTGAAGTGTCTTGAGGGATGTTTTTTGGACTTTGTCTTTCCATCTACTTGTGTGCATGTGCTGAAAAGTGTATCACATGGCAGCCTTGTCCTCCAACTGCATATCTAAACAAGCTAAGGCTGGCCATACATGGTTAATTTTTTTTTTGCCTTCAGCAGCCAGCTGAACAAAAGAAACTGAACCAGTTTCCCCATCCACTCATTTGAGGGGAAATTCCTACCCTCTGTGTCTTTGTATTCTGACAGCGGGACTTCCTTGCCATCAGAATAGACTGATCAGCACTGCAGCTGATTTGGGTACATGCACTGATCAAATGCTGGTTTTCCAGCAGGACTGTTTGATAGAATAACAGACAGGGCTACACACAGATTAAAATTCTCCCATTTCCTGTGGAACTTGCCCCATTTCGTTCTGTGTATGGCCAACTTTAGAGATTATCTTTCTTTAATGTGTCTATTTTCCCAAACACACGTGATATATGTAGAGTATAGGTATATGTAGATGTTCAGGGTTTTCTTGCCTTGCTCTGTTTATTTTTTACATTTCTTATCAGTAGATCTCTGTTTTCTAAGAATTACATTTTATTTACTTGGTGTGAGGTTAGGCAAAAAAAGTGTTTACTGGAATCGTTTAGGGGAAATAGTTAATGACACTATTGAGTTCAGTCTTTTTTTTTTTTTTGTAAATTTCATACAGTAATCACTATTGTGTACAGGGTTTAAATTCTTTGCTTTGCTTTTTTTGTGTGTAGTGTATGAGGTGTAGGACTATGTCTGATTATTTTATTTTTTATTTTTAGATAGTGAGAAATGATGAGAACCTCTATCGGGTATCTCAGAGATTTCCTCTCACGTCCTTAAGGTTGCATTTGCATGCTAGTTAGTCCTAGCTAGTAAGTTAGGGTGTATTTTTGACTTAAATATAGAAATGGCTCAAATATACAGTTGTGGACAAATTTATAGCTAATTATTATTATACAGGATTTATATAGCGCCAACAGTTTGTGTAGCGCTTTACAAAATTAAGGTAGACATTACAGTTACAATACAATTTGGTACAAGAGCTTACAATCTAGGAGGGAGGGTTGAGTGATACAAAAGGTAATGGCTGTGGGGGATGAGCTAAGCAAACTCTTGGCACTATAGAAATCCTGTATAATAATGAGCTGATGTAGGAAATAAAAGGCAGTTCACTAGTTAGAAGCAGGATAGGCTTCTTTAAAGAGAGAGAGGTTTTCAGAGATCGTCTAAAGGTGGAGAGATTAGGAGATAGCCGGATAGATTGGGGTAGGGAATTCCATAGGATGGAAAAAGCTCGGGAGAAGTCCTAGAGGCGAGCATGATAATTGAAACAATGCTTCATTCCTCCTGAAAAGTGATGACATTAAAAAGCAATAGTCTTACAGTATGTATAGCTGCTTGCCTTTATTATGTTATAGAGCAAAGCAAATAAAGTATGAAAAGAGTATTGCATATTCTACAAAGATAATCTAAAGTGACCTGGACAAACTTGTTGGCACCTCTAGAAAAAAGTACAAATAATTGGATCATAGTGATATTTCAGACTGTTTTTGTAATTCTTATCACACATCTTCAATTTTGTAATTAGGCATGAACCTATTTAAATGGAGAAAAGGCGTTACTCTTGTTTGATATCATCATGTTGTGCCACACTGAACATGGATGGGAAGATCAGAGAGAAAATTATAGACCAACATGTCAAAGGCTATAAGACAATCTCCAAGCAGCTGTGATGACATTTGCAAATAATTTTTAAAAAGTTTAAGAATGGGAGTTACTAAAAACAAAATGCTTATTCATACATATGTGTAATTGACACATTAAAATTTGGTGGAAGTACTTTGCCTTTTTTTTTATTTGACCGGGATAAGAAATGTGGATGGAGAATCCAGATATTATTTTTGCCATTTTAAAGAGTATTGGTATGTAATGGATATTTAAAAAGGTCTGTTGTATTGTAAGTCCACCCACATCTGATATATATATATATATATATATTTTTATTATTTTTTTTGTCATATACCAGAGAGTTAAAACACTAGCTTGCTCTACTAGGGTGGAATATATTTCTATATGATCACAGTGTAACCCCTCACTGTTCATTAAACATTTTCTTAATGGTTCCAGTCTTGCTGCAGAATTCTGTGTTTTTAAACCTGCTGCCTTCTAAAAAAAAAAAAATAACATTCCAGCAGAGAGAGTGGAATATATCCATATGTGATGTTTACCTTTTAGAATTTCACATACCGGAAAATCTATTTTTTGCATATGGTCAATTTTGTCACATCTGAGACATCTGAGGAAGGAATAACCTGGGGCGATAGCTTAACTTTCATTTTTGATTGCTCGCTGTCGGCACTGCATCTCAGAATGCTGTTTTGGACATGCAGTCATTTTTTTGGCAACAACTTGTTTAAGAGTCTCAGGTCTTTGTCTGCAAAGACATTAAATGGTTTATTGGAATGAGCAAGTAAAATTATGCTTTCAAAGCAGGTTCCTCTTGGCTTACTGAGCAGACCTATGAGATGGCAAAATAGCATTCTTGGAACTGAATCTGGTCTCGTGACCTTCCGTAAGAGAACTGTTGTAACCAAAAAACCACATATGCAGTGATGTGTAAACAAAGCCTTAATACATTTTACTTTTTAAATACTATGAGCACAATTTGACTTTGTCTTCTGTAGACTGCTTAGGATATTACTCAAGTTTTGTAGTTAAACTGAATTAATTTCCTTGTACAATGAAAAAGTATTTATATTTGTTCCTGAAGCAGTTGTAATATACACTATATTGCCAAAAGTTTTTGGATGCTTGCCTTTACATGCATATGAACTTTAATGGCATCCCAGTCTCAGTCCGTAAGGTTCAATATTGAGTTGGCCCACCCTTTGCAGCTATAACAGCTTCAACTTTTCTGGGAAGGCTGACCTCAAGGTTTAGGAGTGTGTCCATAGGAATGTTTGACCATTCTTCCAGAAGCACACTTGTTGGTCAGGCACTGGTGTCTGATGAGAATGCCTGGCTCGCAGTCTCCACTCTTATTCATCCCAAAGGTGTTCTGTCGGGTGAGGTCAGGCCCAGTCAAGTTCCTCCACCCCAAACTCACTTATCCATGTCTTTATGGAGCTTGCTTTGTGCACTGGTGCGAATTCATATTAGAACAGGAAGGAAGGGGCCATCCCCAAACTGTTCCCACAAAGTTGGGAAGCATGAAGTTGTCCTAAATGTCTTGGTATGTTGATGCCTTAAGAGTTCCCTTCACTGGAACTAAGGGGCCAAGCGTAGCCTCTGAAAAACAACCCCACACCATAATCCCCCTCCACCAAACTTTACACTTGGCACAATGCAGTCAGGCAAGTACCGTTCTCTTGGCAACCGCCAAACGCAGACACGTCCATCGGAATGACAGACAGAGAAGCGGGTTTGTCACTCCAGAGAACACGTCTCCACTGCTCCAGTAGTGGCGTGCTTTAAACCAATGCATCCAATGCTTTACCTTGCACTTGGTGATGTAAGGCTTGGATGCAGCTGCGCTCGGCCATGGAAACCATTCCATGAAGCTCTCTATGCACTGTTGTGCTAATCTGAAGGCCACACAAAGTTTGGAGGTCTTTAGCTATTGACTCTGAAAATAGTTCACAACTTCTGCGCACTGTGCTCTTCAGCGTGTGCTGACCTCACTCTGTCATTTTACATGGTCTTCCACTTAATGGCTGAGTTGCTGCTGCTCCCCGTTGCTTACACTTTGTTATAGTACACTAACAGTTGACTGTGGAATATTTAGTAGCAAGGAAATGTCACAGATGGACTTTTTGCACAGGTGGCAACCTATCACGGCACCATGCTTGAATTCATCGAGCAACTGAGAGGGACCCATTCTTTCACAAATGTTTGTAGAAGCAGTCTGCATACCTAGGTGCTTGATTTTATAAACCTGTAGCCATAGAGGTGATTGGAACACCTGAATCCAATGATTTAGAGGGGTTTCCCAATACTCTTGGCAATATAGTGTAGTTATTTTGCTTAGGAAAATATTTTATTGATGCATTGTGAAGAAAATAATTATGGCAAGCATTCAAGTATTTCTTGGTGGAAAAAATTTTCAACCCAGTTTGTCCAGTCTCTTTCTTATATGCTGATCCCTTTAACCTATTCGGCCCCTTTCACATTATTATTATTATTATACAGTATTTATAAAGCGCCGATAGTTCACTCAGCGCTGTACATTACAAAGGGGGACAGAACATGTGACAGAACAATACCAATACAATGCAAAACATGAGGGGATCGAGGGCCCTGCTCTTTCGAGCTTACAATCTAGAAGATAGGCTGGATCTTGTTTTGCTCAGCAGGGGATCCATCTGCTGTTCCCCTGCTGAACTGAGCGGAACTGCCAGACATGGACACAGCCTGCTCTCCTCTATGGG